AAAATAAAAAAATAAAAAAAAAAAAAAAAAAAAAAAAAAAAAAAAGACATGTATGAAGGTAACATCTCTACCAATTTTTACAAACCCATTTCCTCCGCCTCTGACTGAGAACATGAAGGGAAGCTTTTCAACAACTTTTGTATATTACTGAAGAACTTGTGTAGAAGTCATGCACTACTCTTTACCCCATGAAGTTCGTTAGTTATCAAGGTGTGAAGGAGAAAATATCATAAATAATATGTACTAAGAGTGGAAGTTTTGTGTCCACAGTGTCTGAGTTCAAGTCCAGTCTCTCCAAATACACACAGGGAACCTGGAGTAGAATGCCTGAACTCTGATGTTATTTTCTTTAAATAACCCTGGTAATGAAACAGCACCATTGTTAAGATCACTGTGAGAAGAAAACTGCTATTAAGTGTATAACATGTAAGTGTCTCAACTGAATAAACATTTCCTCTACTAATTACTGAGGAATATAAGCTGTGAAAAGTGTCTCATGAAGCAGGTTTGTGCTCATAGGAGCACTAGGGTGGTTTTTACTGAAGTCTCATGTTTCAGATCCCAGATACCTCTGTGCTGCTATCAAGACTACTCCAGCTCTCCTAGTGACACATAAGCGTGTGTGTGTGTGTGTGTGTGTGTGTGTGTGTGTGTGTGTGTGTGTGTGTGAGACAGTGAGAATTTTATTATAATTCTGGTGTTACTACATATCAGCCCTGATCAAGTAAAGCAAATTCTAGAGGATTCAGTTTCACATTTGTAAAAATATATATATATGAAATTTACCTGATGTATTATTGTGAAAATTAAACAATAGAATGCTTTGAATAACTTCTGTCATTTCTAGCACATAAGGAGTAATAAGTATGCTGTATATTCATTTTTGGTTTCCCTTTCACTGTGACTAAAATAAATGATTTAAGAATACCTATTAGTTTACTTTCAACATTATTACCCTTGCTTTGTTTTAAAAAATAAAATAACTTGATGAAAGAAGTACAACTTTCTTTAAATTTTAGCTGATTGTAAAACAAATGTTTCTATACAGCTTTCTGGTCTAATTTTCTTTTCACTTTTTTGTGGCAAATATGTCATTGAAATTGAATTTTAATTTCAGTTCTGTTTGCCTTGCTTTAAAAATTTATCATTCCCAAGAATACAGTAAGTGTAAGAAGTAACAATTGGGGGATTTCTTAACAATAGTGTAGGTAAGTGTTTTGTTGCCCAGGTCAGCCTTCCTTTTCCAGTGTGGTGCAAGTTTTTAGAAACAAAAGAAAAACCAGTCCTTCTCTAATGAACTGAAAAACAACAACACAGGGCACAAGAAGTACTGTGGTTAGAGTGCAGTGGTGTAGATAAACAACAGGCTTTGAGGTAAGTGTCTGAGTACATCTTAGGAACAGAATATCAGAAGAATTGTTGGTTAAAATATATCAAAGGAGTTTACATAAATGCTAACAATACCAGAATTTGCTTATGAACACAGCAATTATTTTGACAGCGACACCACCAATAGATCAGAACTGTGATTATCATCAGCATGCTTAATGTCATTAAAATTACATCCATAGCAATGTAACTTTGTTTCTATTTAAATATCAATCCCCATATACAAAATTTTATATATAAATCTGACACAATAAAAAATAACATAAGGAAAGTCCCTTCTTGCCTTCATAAATCTCACTGCTCTTGGGTGCAGGGCCAGATGAAGTGGGATACTCAGTAATAGTATATGCGATGACAAAGCTGATAAAGGAGAAAATGCCAGCTCTCAGAATGCAATCAGTGCAAAATTTACATGATTATCTGAACACTTGCAAAGCATCATGAGTTTATATGCTGTTAGAAATAACTTCATTCATACCCTTGAATCTTCTCGCACATTTACATCATGGAATACTATGCAGCTGTAAAAAAGAAGGATCCCTTACCCTATGAGACAGCATGGCGGGACTTGGAAAGTATTATGCTAAGCGAAATAGGCCAGTCAGACGGGCAAGTATCACATTATCTCACTCACATGTGGAATCTAATGAACAAAATAAACCGAAGAACTTAATAGATCCAGAAACACAGAAGCACAGAACATACTGACAAATCTCAGAGGGGAGGTAGGGGTGAGTGGGCAGGCGGGGAGGGATTAACCTAAGAACTTATATGCATATATGCATAACCCATGGGCACAGGCAATAGAGTGGTTAAGGCCTGGCAGGAGGGGTGCGGGGTGGAGGGGATTAATGGAGGAAAAAAGCGAACATTTGTCATACTTTCAACAGTAAAGATAAATTTAAATAAGTAAATAAATTACAGACATTGACAACAACAAAAATAATAGCACAAAAACACTGAAAACAGGATGTTAGTTTGCAAACACTCGCCAAAAGCTTTGGTGGTGGGAGGATGGTAAAAAAATAAAAATTACTTCATTCATATCCTTGAAATTGTAACTGACAATATGGCTAAGCAATTATGCTTACATAAATTCCAGTTCTTGCTTTACAGGCATGTGAATCAAAAAGAGTTAGCTTACTCAACTGCCGGTTACAAACAATACCAAAATATCTGTGCTTTAATTAGGAAAAATCGACCTTTCAGTCGCCTTTCATGTCTCATATGATTTAATGTGTGAAGACTGCAGGGTTCTGCAGTCTTGTCAGTCAGGGGCCCTTGTCTGGAGCTTCCACCAGCCCGTAGGTGCAGCATCTGAAACATGTTCTCAGAAGAACAAGATTGATAACAGGGCATGAAAACATGTAGAGAAAATAGAAATGTTTCAGTTCTGCTTTTTAAAAAATTTTACCTATTTTTATTTTATTGTTATTCTATTTTTATTATAGAACTATGCCATGCATTAGTTGTACCTCCTTTTTAATTTATTGTTATTTTTAATTTAAAAAAATTTTTCAGTTCTGCTTTTGATAGATGGTGTAAAAAGGGCCAAACGTTTGCCACGGGAAGTGGGAAAAGAGGAAGATTATGGAGGTGTGAGTGTCACCCAGAGAAAGACTCCACTTGAAGAGCACCATCTGTTAACCTCCACGCTCTTCCTGCCCCCTAGTTGTTGGTGACTGTCACTGCCACAGTTATACCACATGATGTCTGGAGGGCTTTCTCAACTGGCCTGCCTAGGTCAGGAACAAAAACTGGAAGCTAACTGGTGGACTCCTAAGATTCAATGGTGGTGTAGAAAAGTTTTCTCAATAGGCTCACAGTAAAGGCTCTTTTCTAAAATTTCATTTTTATCTTTCACCAGGACAGCTGCTACCTCTCAGCTCAAATTAATAGAGCTTTGTCTCTGATTATCTCTCCCATCACGCTCTGCAGGACAAAGGGCAGGTGCCCACACTTTCTGGAACATGATTTTATCCCTAGTAAGTAGTTTAGGGCAGGAATCTAGGACAAGCTTCACGAATAGTTACACAATGGAGTTGAAATTCTGAGTACTCAGGCAAGCTGTAGAATGTGTGGTAGGGTTTCGTATTCATCTTATTCACATGTTCTTGCTAGAATAACCTGAGAAAGAGATTAAAAACACAGTGATTGAGGGCTGGCCCTGGCTCAGGTCCTAGAACGTAGTGAAGCATTAATTTCCCCCTTGGTGGCTTCCCATTGTTATTGTTCTTAAGTTTCTATTCTGCTTCCTAAGTTTCATTTCCGCTTCTATGAGCTTAACTTTCATTTCTCACTCCTCCCTTTTTGGGGAACTTCTCTGTGGAGAGCTGGTCTATTTGGTTTGGTGAGTGAATCTTGGCCAGACCTACAGCTGATCTCCTCCACTGAGTTAAGACTCCCGCACTTCTCCTGAAGGTGAGTGGAACAGTTTCTGAGCACAAGGCGCAGGAGGCTTTGGGGGAACAGATTGAATGAGTGTCATGCCTCTAACTGCGGTTCTGAAGCTGCTCTGCTTGTAGGTGTCTCTGCTGAGGTGGCAGAAAAGAGGAACACTGAGTCTGGAGGAAGAGTGACTTTTATAGAACGAAGGTTTAAAAGAGCAAAGAGTCTTATGTGTTTCTTGGAGGGACCATTATTTTTCCAGGCTGAGTTACACTCATCATTTTCCTACTCTGTAGTTTTGACTCTCTACCTTGCCAACGTGAACCAGAATAGGGTTTTTTTGTTGTTTTTTTTCCAGATAGAAAATCCCTTCCTCCTTTTCTCTAGTGAAGCCTGTGAGATGAAGCCCTGTTCTCCCTCTTCATAAAGCCCAAGCTCCTGGTGGAAGGCCAGCAGAAGTGAGAGCTCTTATCAGAATGCATGTGGGAGAGATGGGATTTAGGGGCTCTGCCAGGGAGCAGACCCTCTTTCAATTTTTTTTTTTTTATTGATTTCAGAGAGACAAAGGGAGAGGGAGAGAGAGACAGAAATATTAATGATGAGAAAGTCATTAATCAGCTGTCTCCTGCACGATCCCTCACTGGGGACTGAGCCCTGCCCCAGAATTGAACCCAGACCTCCTGATTCATAGATCAACACTCAACCACTGAGCCATCCCTGCCGGGTGTGAGCAGATCTTATTGCTGATCCTTTTACTCTTGTCTTGGTGACTTCTGCAAAGCCATACACAAACTCCTGATAAATGTGCCATCCTTTGGCCAGCCCCATGGAAGAAGCTGAATGATCAGTTTGCTGCCCATCTCTGTAGCTCCCATGTGGCCACTTGTCTCACTGGAGGTCCAGGAACAGGGAATTTGTTCTCCCCTGAAAGCCACAGCTCACTCTTATCTCAGTGCACCCCATGACTTTCACGTGTCCTCTCTTGATTTAGAACATGTTCTGCATCATATTAAACACACCCTTCCACTGTTACTACCTTAACCCTTTACTCGCTTTTCCCTTGCATGGAGCTAAGAAAAGGAGTTGGTAATTTTTCAGAAGGAACTCCGTCTTAATCTCACCTTTGAGCAGTTAGCACCTTCATCGCTCTGTTACAAAGATTCTGATGTGATGTGTACTTTCCTTTCCTCCCCCTTTTCAGAGATCATGAGTCCGTGTCTTATACTCGGACAAGGTCAACATTGATGTGTATTAACTGAATTCTCATGGGCTACTGCAGGTCCCACCCAAAAGGAGAAAATGTGTTTTTATAAATTTTGAATTTTTAAAAATATTAAACTCACAAGACCAAATGCATACAGCCGTGATAAAAAGAAAACTGTATTAACTTCTGTTGAAAATACAATAAATACTGAGTACCTACAAAAAATGATATTTTGGTATGGGGAGAGAAAGTAAACAAGCAGTAAGAGTAAGGTGGTATAAAACAAGATGGGAATTGCTATGGTATAAATGTAAAACAGAGAGACAGCAACAATAATAAACCAAACGGGCTACCATAGGACAGGTATCTATAGAGCCCTGGTTAAGGGCTTTGCAAATTTAAATAAATTTCAGGTTAGGTCTCAGTGTGAGAAGGTGATTTTGAGTAGAGTCTTCAAGGAAATGATGTTTTTTTGTCCTGAGTGATTAAGGAACATTAAGATGGCGAATGTGAGTTGGTGGGAAGGCGGGCTGAGAGGGTGAGACAATAGAAGGGGATGTGTAATGTGGACCTAACTAGGCCGTGATAGAGATCAGCTCAATGAAGGGGTGCACCTGAGCAGAGGAGTGACGAGGTTAATATGTGCTTTAAAAATTCCCTCTGCCTGATGGTGAACGGAGATGAGAGCAGACTGTGTGAGACCAGTGACTGTATCAGGAAGACTGGTGGGGAAACTATTCCTGGAATCCAGGTAGAAGACTCAGCTGGATGGGACCTGATGTGAAGAGAGTGCCGCAGGGTTTTCTGCTGAACCGAATGTGAGAGACAGGGATGAACTAGGGGCAGCTTTGTGAACATGGCTCCTGTTACCAAATGACTTCTTTGAAACAAATTGACCTGAGAGCTAGAACTCTTGGGGGGAGGTTCATTAATGTGGGGCAGGTTACACCCTGGGCTAGAAGGAGGTGAGGAGAAGAAAGGACTCTGAATACAGAGGAAGGGGGGGTGTTCCCAGGAGTCTGGGTGCCAAGGACAGGTTCACCTTCTCATTGGCAGTTCCTGACCCAGGGTACAGGAGAGGTTTCAAGGATGTTGGCTAAACCCCTCATAGAACTTTCTCAACATTGTGGAAACACTCGTTTTTCTTGTCTGCACTGCACAGATACAGAAAGCCTCTGTGAGGACAATTAGGATATAGTGAGAGGGAAAACTCAGGACCTAGTTGGCCCTTACCTTACTCTGTAAAAACTCTTATATTGTACCATCCCCAAGACAGAGAATACATTTTGTCTCTATCTGTCTCTGCGTGTGTCTGTCTGTGTTAAGTGGGAGGGATTCAGTGGTATGATGCTTCTCCAATAATAGAATACAATAAATAAAGGAAAAATAAGCACTTGTGTTAGTTTTCTAGGATTGCCACACAAAGCATACTACAAATGAGGTGGTTTAACTGAAATTTATTGTCACAGTTCTGGAGGCTGGAAACATAACAGCAATGATTTTGGCAGGGTTGGTACCTCTCAGGGCTGTGAGGGTAAGATGTGTTCCATGCCTCTCTGCTGGCTTCTGCTAGTTGGCTGGCATTTCTTGGCATTCCTTGTTGTATAGTTGAATCAGCCAGATCTCCGCTCCTGTATTCATATGGCACTCTCCATGTGTGCATGTCTGTGCACAAATGTCCCCTTTCTCTAAGGACCCAGCCATGTTGGATTAAGGCCCACCCTAATGATATCATTTTAACATGTTCACCTACAAACACACTATTTCTGAATAAAGTTACATTCACACATTCTAGGGTTAGACTTCAATATCTTTTAGGAGGACACAATTCAACTCATAATAGTACTTACTATGCTTGGAACAAGACAGAGTTTACCTCCCCAGTGGATGACCTTCCTTAATATTGAGTCTTTTCTCTCATGATGACAGATGCCTCATTGGAACTTATGTTTCTCAGGTCTCCATCATGTGTGTGATCCTGAGTATATGACATATCTCTTCCTCCTGAAAACACAAATCTTCAGGTGACTGTGGACACATTGCCTTATGTCCAGGCCAAGGTAAAGGCCCAATATCTACAGACACAAAACTCCACAGAAGTATTCAGATGGTCTTGCTTTTTTTGTTTTAACACCCCAATAGCATTGGGTATCAATCTAGTTCTTTCAACCTCCATCTGTTTTTCTTTAAAGCTGTGCAGTAGTGGAGAGAACACTGATTGACAACATTGAGGAACATATGTTTCCCACCGACTCCACCTATTTTAAAAGAATGACCTTGACCTCTGTAATTCATTGATTTTATTTATACTTCTGAAGGAAAGAGCCTGTTTTTTTTATTTTTTTTTATTTACCTTTCTTTAATATTTTATTTTACTTTTCAATTACAGTTGATATTCAATATCATTTTGTATTAGTTTCAGATGTACAAAATAGTGGCTAGACAATCATATACTTTACAAAGTACCCCTCTCCCAGAATTTCAAGTACCCACCCGTACCATACATGATTACAATATTATTCACTATATTTCCTATGCTGTACTTTTTTGTGACTATTTTGTGACTACCAATTTGTACTTCTTAATCCAAGAAGGGAGTACTCCTGTCAAAAATATTTCTATAAGAAATAAATAGATCACCCGGTCGGGCATGGCTCAGCGGTTGAGCGTCGACCTAGGATCCAGGCGATCAGGGCTCGATTCCTGGTCTGGGCACATGCCGGGGTTGTGGGCTTGATCAATGACTCTCTCATCATTGATGTTTCTGTCTCTCTCTCCCTCTCCTTTCCTCTCTCTGAAATCAATAAAGATATATATATATTTTAAATAAACTACTAAAAAAAAAGAAATAAATAGATCAACATGATGTCTAAATTATAAGTGGTTATAAAATTCTTGGTGAGCAAATGTCATCTCTATCGTGGTGTTTGTTGCTTCTGTAGGTGTCTCTGGGGAATGAGTTTGAGGGCTTGGAAGGCTCTGTGTGAGACAGGAGTGTTAGCAGGTAAACACTTCTCAGCTATTAGACAACTACTAATTAACGGGAGAAAAGATGAAAAGCTGATTTAAAAAGTCTAATCATCTATGGAGAGATGGGGAGTGGGAAGTTTCTAGTTTTATATATTCATCAAACATTGTGCATTGTGCTTCTGTGTGATGCACTGTTCTAGGTGCTGAGGACACATCAGTGAACTAAACAGTGATGAATTCTTGCATGAACCACTTTTTAAGAAGAAGAGGTAGGCGGTTATAGACAGATGTTATACACTAGGGAGTAAAAATAAGAAAAATATAGCAAATGAACAGCCAGTGATAGTATGGGCAGTTTTTCTATAGATAAGTTAGGGCAGGTCATTCTGAAAAGAGGACATGTGAGGCGGAGGCTGAATAAAATGTAAGAAGGAGTCATGCTGACATCAGGGAGAAGATCGTTCCAAGCAGAGACAAACAAGTGTGTAATCTCTCAGATAGTAGTGGGTTTGGTGCTTTTAATGTCAAGATTATGTGTTGTTTTTTTAAAATGGGAAAGAAAAGCAAGAGAGAGAAACCTCAATGACTGCATGTGAAGTGAAAGAACTCAGACAGGAAAGATCATATATTATATTTTTGCTGTTATGAATTGATCAGTAATGGTAATTCTATAAAAATCAAGAAAGATTAATGGTGACCTGAGGCTCAGGGTCAAAATGTGGGTGACAACTAACGGCATTAGGTTTGTTTTCAAGGATTAGAAATGTTCTAAAATTGGTGGTGATAGTTGTTCCATTCAATAAATTTTCTAGAAATTATTGTACTCTGAAAATGAACGCATGTGATGTAAATATAACTCAATGAAACTTACTAGAGTAAATCATGCAGAGAGAAGAGCAAGTGTAAAATCCCGGAGGGCTGCAGTGGGGTTAATGTATTTAACATGTTGGATGTGTTTGAGACTAGGGAAGAACAGAAAAGACTAACGCCAGGTGAAACAAAGCTCAATTTGTCTTTCTATCCAGCAGAAGAAGAGAAAACAGCAATCATTGCCTTGATGGGGTGAAATTTGTCATGTGACATAAGCTAAGAGGAAAGTGTTTGAAATTATTACAAAGCAGGGCCCTTTTCATTTTGTCACTGACTACTCTCCTTCTCTCCCTCTTTCCCTTTCTTTATTGAATATTAATGGTTTGTTCTGTTCTAAATCTCTGCACAATCAGTACCCTTTCTATTCCAGCCTTTCCTATCTTGCCCCCGTCACTAATCCCAGCCTTGCAGGAGTCGGTGGGCAAGAAGGGCTTCTGGAGTCAGCACAGGAAGAAGCCAGGGGAGCACGGCAATGGACACTTCATCACGAGCGAACATAGAGGAGGACGTGACCTGCCCCATCTGCCAGCAGCTCCTGACAGAACCCTTGAGCCTGGACTGCGGCCACAGCTTCTGCCAAGCCTGCATCACCACCAACAGCCAGTCAGTGGGCCTCTTAGGAGGGCAATGCCGCTGTCCTGTGTGCCAGAGCAGTTACGAGCCTTGGAACCTCCGGCCTAATAGGCAGCTGGCCAGCATAGTGGAGAAAATCAAGGGAATCAATATGAGTTCACACCAGTGGCAGAGGAGAGATCTCTGTGAGCACCACGGGGGAAATTGCCATCTCTTCTGTAATGAGGATGAAAAGGCTATTTGCAGCAGTTGTGTCCAGGAGCACCAAGGTCACCAAATATGCCCCGTGGAGGAGGTGGTCCAAGAATGTCAGGTAGGCCCCAGAGTGTGGAAATATCAGCCAGAATGTTACCTGAAGTGAAATGTGCAGTTTAATCCTATTTATTTCCCTCATAATCATAGAACTGAGTGCTACCTTCTCTTTCAGACATATGGCTCAGCTTCTGAGGCCTGAAAACAATTCCTGTGCCATTCATTCATTTTCCTCAAGAATAAGCATAGACTATACGATCTTAGCAAAGACAAGTTGCATGAGCGAGAGTTGCTTCCCATAAGTTCTGATTGCCCCCGTGAGCAGGCGGGATTTTCAGAACATGGCTGGTTAAATCTGGGAAAACTGTCCATGAGAAGAAAGGACTTTTCTTGCTGCAGGATCAGTTCTTCCTCTAGGAAAAGAGAGATGTAAGCTACTCCTGATAAAGGGGTGGAAGCCTGCATCACCCAGGGATAAAGACCACATTTACCTCCTCAGATCCCTGTCTGCATTCTTGGCTCTCATTGCCGGTTTCATTTCTAAAACTCTAGTGTCTTCTGAGATGAGCCTGATTTCTCCTCCATTTATCCTGTATCCAGGTGCTGAGAAAACTCATAGCTTCACTTTGGTGACTCCTTTCTCACAGGAGAGGCTCCAGGCAGCTCTAGACAGACTGACGCAGGAGCAGCAGGAAGCCGAGAAGCTGGAAGAGAAGATCGATGATGAGAGAGCCACCTGGAAGGTAAAAACGCAGTATTCCTGCGGGGGTTCTGAAACAGGGACCTGGGCAGCACCTTGTCCAGTCACAAGGAGGCCCCTTCCTCCTTGTTTCCCCAGAATTAAAGCGTCCAGAAGACATGTGACTAGTCCTCCTCATTCAATTCCTTCCCTGCCGAGGGTTGGAAGCCACAGAATAGACATTCCCAAGTGAAAGCAACTATTTGGAAGCAAAGACATAGAGAGGAGCAATGTAAAAGTGATTCATGAGCCCCATGTCCCATTTCCATCATCAAGTCGGAGGCTCTGATACTTCCAGAAGAAATGTTAAGGAAGGCCCAGGGTTCCCTGTTTCGGAGATATGGGTGGAGGGGTTTCACATGCAGTGTGGTGTAATTATCCAAGACAGGCGTCTGCAATCCAAGCCTCATCCAAGTATCACATGGTGTCTCCTGGGGGGCCTGGAGAAAGTAGATATGAATGAATCGCTTTGGGAGCAGCTTAAGGGAAAATAGTAAGAAAAATGGCTTTCCCAGGAATGGCTCATTCCCTTTTACTTCCTAAGTGCCTGAGGGAAATAGTTCTTGTCTTGGCTCCCAAGACCCATGAAAAGTAGGCTGTCAGGTAGACAGACTGACTGACTCTTTCTCTTCTCATCCCCAAAGAATCATATGCAGACAGAGAGAGAGAGGATTCAGAAAGGGTTTGAGGAAATGAGAGGCATTCTGGACAGAGAGGAGCGAAGGGAGCTGTTTCAGCTGGAGGACGACCAAGTGCACGTGCTGGATAACTTGGCCATGGCTAAAGACCAGGTGGCCCAGCAGAGGCAATACATGAGGGAGCTCGCCTCAGGTCTCCAGTGTCACAACTATGAATCATCTGTACGCACGCTGCCGGTAAGACTTGGGACAGAGCCCCTACATACGAGATCTGGGGAAAACACAGAGATGACGTTTCCTTCCCCTGTGGGTCCCTGCACTTTCTTCCTCATTAAAAGGTTCCTTTGACCCCTCCATGCTCCTTCTCTGTCATTGATTTCATGGGTCATTGTGAAAATTCAATGCTCAAATGCCAAGAGTAATTCACATAATTATTTTATGAGATGCTGTGTGAAAAATTGAGAGATTTCTTATAGTTTTCTATGCATTTCTTCACTAAGCTTAGTCAAATGACTCACATCTCTCTTTATGTTAGATATTGCTGTTGTTTTGTTAAGCAGTGGCAAATGTAATCGTACCTGCATGAGGGTGAGAATGTATGGCTATGTGTGCATGCTTATGTGTGTATGTGTGTGTGTGCACGGGTGCTGGGTACGGAAGGATGGGGGGAAATATGGAGACTTAATGTAGGGATTGAACCTAGTGTGAAAATTTTTTCCCTTGGAATTAACTGCATGACTGATCTTAAGCTATGATACATATTGGGAAATTCAGGAAATCTCAGATTTTCTCTGCTTGACTTCTTGCCATTCTTTTTGGTTAGCTGAACAAGAATTTCAGAGTTTTGGTTCTAATACTGAAGTAATCAATTTCCAACTGCTGGATCTTTAATTCTTCCTTAAAAAACTTATTTTTGAGGTGTAAGTTACATACAAAATCTTAAAACTACCCATTGTAAGTATACAATTCAAAGATTTGTAGTAAATATATTGAGTTGTTAAACCTTGTACAAATAAGTTCAACATTTGGGGGGGGGACTCTCCCTTCCTCCACTGAATTATTTTGGAACCTTTGTCAAAACTCAGTTTGTTCTATTATGTTTCTGGATTATCACTCTTTTATATGAATCTCTATATTTTTGCACTGATACCGTGGTTTCATAGAAAATTTTGAAATTAGATAGGGTAATCTTCCAACTTTTTTTTCGAAATTGTTTGAAAACTAGTGAAATATTTCTATCCAATTCCATTTCAAAGCAGTTCTCTTCTAAGTCAGTATAGTTCTCTGTGGAGACCATTTTAAGCACCTCTGCCCATGGATCCTTTGGAGAATTGTACTGCCACCTAGTGGATAGAGGCCAGAGATGCTGCTCACCCAGCTACAAAGCAAGTGGCAGACACCACTGCAATGACCTGAGCCAGAAACACTGTACTAGGTCCACTGAATTTCCTATTAAAAGTGTTGTATATATTGTTAATTTTTATTAAAATCTGCTGGGATTTTTATAGCATGAGGAGATGGCAGTCAGCTAAGAAATGGACTGTATAGGACAGTTGTTTGTCTATCTTTTTCTTTTTTTGGTAAACACCTCTTGAATTACCCTTCGAGGAACCAACTCTACCATCAGCCCATGTAGTTGGTTAGGACTGATAAAATCAATAGCACCAGGGATGTATATGTCTCTCAATCTAGGTAAATCAACACATTTAATTCCTATAGGTTTACCAATGATGCAGTAATTACTTAAGATATGTACCTGACCCATTCCGGGCAATGATTTGTATGCCTAAGAATTTTATTGTTATGACTAGAAAGAGAAATTCTCTTTTCTGCTAGGTGATATATTAGGAATTGTCATTTAAACAAGGATGTTTATGTTGATGTTATATAGAGAATGAAAAGAAAATCTGTATAGCAGTTAGAATACAGAATTTTGAAAAGAAAGAACTGATGCTGATGACAAAATTTTCCCTAAAAATCTAGCTAATAGAAAAGTTCTACTTGTTCCCTGAGTTTCTCTTTTTTCTTTTAAATTTAAGCCAGTTTTAGTTGGGTTTTTGTCATGTACAATAACAACGGAAACCTAATACAGAGTAAACGTTTTTGAGGCAGTACAGCCATATAGAGGCCACTGCTTTGTTGATATGAAAGGGTTTAGACTAAAGAGGGAGAAACAAATGTATTGGAGTATTTTTCTTCAAAGAAATAAGGCAAATAATGCTATGATGGAGAAGAGAAGATGGCTAAAAGAAGCTTAGGATACGGACTGGACTGGCTTAATACAATACTGGTATTCAGGGTAAGATATACTTTTTAAAAATATACATATCTTTATTGATTTCAGAGAGAGTATGGGAGAGGGAGAGAGAGATAGAAACATCAATGATGAGAGAGTCATTGATCGGCTGCCTCCTGCACGCCCCCTGCTGGGGATCGAGCCCGCAACCCGGGCATGTGCCCTGACCAGGAATCGAACTCCGATCGCCTGGATCCTAGGTCGATGCTCAACTGCTGAGCCATGGCCAGCCGGGCAAGATATACTTTTTAAGACAGTGAGGAAGTGGATATTAACACCACTCTGGACCATGGAATGTAAGTGGCTGGGAAACAGTCAATTACATTTTAGACTTTCTTTGCTGCTGGTTTCTGTGGCTTCTTTCATACTTACACCACTGATGAGATTCCTGTCAGGTCGTGTGTAGAAGGTATATAGAGTGAGCAGAGGGAGGCTGGAGAGACATTTGCCTGAAGTGTTAGCTTGCTTGTTCCTAGAGCAAAAGAAAATATATGTTCTGAGGACTTTAATTATTAATTATACATCTTTGATTCCCCAGAGCCTGGAATAATGTCTGACAAGAAATTTACCTTTTTTTTTTTTTTTTTTGGCCACTAGAAAATAAATAAAACCATAATGAATTAAGGAGGTCTTCCCATGAATAGTAGACTATTAAAGAAATAGTAGGACTTCTCTCTTCCTTTTAAATATATTCTGTCTCCAGATCCTGGAAGCGTCTTTCTAACATCCACACATGAGTCCTCTGGGATGGTTGGTTTATGTCTTATCTCTACAGTTTGTCCCCCATCTATTCAGTCTGACCATCTATTTGTTCATGCCATATCGATGGGTGCTAGGGGTGTGAGGAGGAAGGTGAGTACAACTTTGAAAGGCAGGAGGGCTTATCACGCCTTCCAGGGTTGCCAGACAAACTAAGGAATGTGTAGTTAAATTTGAATTTCAGGTAAATAACACATCACTTTTTGAGCAGAAGAGTATCTTAAACATTTACTGCAGAGCTCAAGCTTATACTAAAACATATTTGCGATTTATCCAAAATTAAATTTTAACCAGCCATTTTAATTTTCTAAACCTGGCAGTCTTACACTTGACTTATGTTTTCTCTTTTCTCCCCAGGATATGATTAACATCATAAGAAGGTATGTGTGCCTGACCAGGCATGGTCCTTTTTTGTGTGATGACAGAACTATAGCTATAAGAGTAATCTTGACTCAATCATAATTTTTTAAAAATCAGACCTGGGAAACTTGGGAATACATTGTTTCAAACTGCTGATGACAGGTGAAACTGTTAACCATAGAGAATGTGGGTGGTGGGAGGTCACAGAGTTAGGAACAATAAAGCATTCGAAATAAGAGGTTGCCATATCAGACTTCACTCATTTTAGTCAAACCTTACTCTCTGCCTCAGCTCTTGCTCCTACACTTCACAGACGCCAGTCTTTTCACAGGGAAGATCTTGTCCTCTTTATCTGCCAGGCCCCCAAATTCTCCACAAGGACAGTTTCTTTACATTTACATTTCTTCCAGGGAATTGAAGAAACAAGGTCTTTCTAGGTGATATTTTTGGATTGCAATAAACAAGTAAATGATAAATAAAATATAAATAAATAAATAAACAAACAAATAAATAATAAATATAAATAAATAAAAAGCTCAAGTCTCAGGGAATAATGGCTTTAGTCTAGTGCCAATAATAAATCTCTTTTTGTTTACATATGTTAGCAAATTGTAGGAAAAATGGCTTTCTTTGTCTAAAGTTGCCTACCCACTTGGCAGGATCAAGCACATGAAATCCAGACCACTATTAATTTGGATGTCTTCACTTCTCTTTTCCCAAATATTTGTAATGATTCCCCAGAGAATTTGACTTTTTATGTTATACTCCGCACCTGCAATGAAATAATAGACTTAAAACACACTTCAGGCTTCAGTACAGAAGCCCCACCCAAGATAACCTCAAGGTCTCGGGAGCCAGGTTCTAAAGCCTCACTACTAAACATCTGCCTGGGGACTGTCATCTCTGGCCTCTTCCTGGAGGCACCACTGAGATGGCAGTGACTTCTCCATATGTGAAATATATTTAATTACAGGCACCAAACAACTTTCAAAGGTACCATTATTTCATCTAATAGTGTATTATTTTTAAGAGGTAGCGAGTGTGTGGTTAGTTATTCCATTTTGGAAGGAAGAACATGAGTTTCATGAGAAGTCCTTCCCAAGGTCACATAGAGGTTAAGTAGAAAGGTAGGCATGAAGACATTTTTTTCTGGTTGCAGTGTCAGGGCTCTCACCTGAGCCTCTGTCAGGTTCTTCAGTGAATTAGATTTGAGCGAGAAGGCGTCAGTGGAGTGAAAGGCGAGAGAGACACAGGTCTTGGAGAGACACAAGGTAAGAAGTATGGGCGATCATTGTTTTGTCTTCTCTAGAAGCGAGTCCTGGACCTTGAAGAAGCCAAAAGTTTTTCCCAAGAAACTAAAGAGTGCATTCCGATTACCAGATCTGAGTAGGATGCTGCAAGAGTTTAAAGGTGAGGAGAGGCAGGGGAAGGGTGTACAGGGGGAATTCTCATAGGGGGAGTGGATGCTGTTTCTATCTGAGGATAAAAGAGAGGAGGTAGGCCTCACAAAAAGAGATAGATACCCTGTGCTGAAGGTGTGCACATATCAAAGTAGGAATGGCCAGGTGTCCTCCTTCACCAGTTGACAGCCTCACAGGCTTTCCCTCCCCTGTTCCCACTCAAGAGAAAAGACAGGTATCAGAGTTTCCTCCTTTGCTTCTAACAACATCCTTTAAACTTTTGTCATTTCAGAGCTGACAGGAGTCCAAAGCTACTGGGGTAAGAAGTTACAGGTTCTTCACTTCACCATGTTCTGATCCCTTTTCAGAAGCTGTGGTTACTATTAGGGCCCATGATCTTAGTTACACGTGTTCCACCCAAACATGCATACATACCACATTTCTTAACTGATCTACTCACCACTGACCCATTCACTCATGTTCCTCCCAGTTAATTCGCAATATTCTTCCTCACAATGTCACAAGACGCACATGCCATATTTATTTCACCTGACTGAGTCGTTTCTCCTACAGTGGACCTGACGATGAATCCACTCAGTGCCCTTTCGAACGTTGTCATTTCTGCGGATCAGAAACAAGTGACAATGGGGGACGATTTTATGTTTAGGAATGTATATCCGTGTAACTTTTCTGCTTTGGATGTCTTGGGAAGCAAAAATTTCTCCTCAGGAAAATACTACTGGGAAGTTGATGTGTCTGGGAAGACAGCTTGGATCCTGGGGGTACACAGTAACACAAGTAACCTCAACAGAAAAAGCAGCTCTGGGTTTGTTTTCAACCCAAACGTAAATTATCCAAATGTTTACTCCAGATTCAAACCTGAAAATGGCTACTGGGTTGTAGGGCTGCACAATGAATCCGAGTACAGTGCCTTCGAGGACTCTTCCACCGCTGATCCCAGGGTCTTGACGCTTTCCATGGCTGCTCCTCCCCGTCGGGTTGGGGTTTTCCTAGACTATGAAGCAGGCACTGTCTCATTTTTTAATGTCACAAACCATGGGTCACTCATCTATAAATTCTCTAAATGTTGCTTTTCTCACGCTGTTTATCCCTATTTCAATCCTTGGAACTGTCCCGTTCCCATGACTCTGTGCCCACCAAGCTCCTGAACCTTCTCCTTCCCCCACCCACTTCTGTGCAGTGACCGTGGGGCTCGTCTTCTTCACCCGAGCTCACTGCTCCATCCAGACCTTCTCGCCCTTGCTGTCTCCCTTCTTCAGATCACGTCTTGATTCTTAGATTAGAAGAGAAGCTTACTTGCTCAGTTGCCCCTTTCTGCATTATCAGCAAAAGCCATCTAATCCCTCCTAAAAACAGAGAAGTATTGGTATAATATCTCTGCCCTCCCATTTCTCCATATTTTCCTTTATCCCTAACTTGAAGAGGCAGCAACCATAACTTTAGGACATTCCATAATCACCCCCAGCCCCCAACAACAACTAAGGAGTATTTGAGTGTATGCCTGTTTGTCGCCCAGCATACAGCAGGTTGTTCGGAGAGTTTAGGGGGAAAAACCAAAAAGTAATATATGTACCCAGAGTGAAAACTTTATGACCAGAGTGATTGAGTTTGAATCTTGTCTCTTCTCTTACGAGGTGTGTAACGATGGATACATTTTTGTTTCCTCTCATAAAATAAAATTGGATTTTAAACTGCATTTAACTCTTAAGATATTTGTGTGAAATTGTCACTCAATGTAAAGCACCCATTTAAGGGTCCTGCACAATATAATAAATATTTGCTCTCATGATCCCTGAAAAGTATAAGGTGTGTCAGTGTCCAGTGCGACGGATTTGTGCCTTTCAGAGGAACAGAAAATGATTCTACTGAAGTCTCATTTGTCAAGTTCCCAGACTCTGCTGTCAAGACCACTCCAGTTCCAATCTTCTGTTACAGAACTTTTTACACTGAGGCTGGGACTGTTTTAAGGCCCTTTGTTGGGAATGGGTCAGAAAACCCAGAAGTATGAGTTTCCAAGAAATGTCCAGCAGAGGGAACCGTGTCTGCGGACAGCTGCTCTGATTAGGGACAGCCTCTTGGTGCTCAGGACTTTTCCTTGTGGTGAAACATCAGAGTATTACACCTTACATACCATCCCATGCACTTTTGTTTTCCTTACTTTTAAAATCAGTTTCAAATTATGGTGCGGAATAGACTTACCCAGGATACTAAGGAAGTTTTCTTGGAGAAGCGTCCATTGCAAATTAGGGCAGCTAACTGCATAGAGCCCACATGAAGATACTGAGGCCTAAGAAGTTTTCCCAACAGAATGAAAAGGAGAGTACTCAGCCTGGGAAAGGTATGTACAAGCACACTTATACTTACACACACACACACACACACACACACAAAGGCATGTTTCAATACATAGAGAATATCTTTATCCAAGTTACATTTTAAAATATTGTAATAGAAAGAATTCCTTCAGGGAGTTGAAAGACTGTAAAGTTATGAAGTATGTCCCATGGAGGAGGGAGGAGACAAGATTAGAACTGGGTCTCTGTTTCTCCAACTCCAGTGCCCTTTTTGTATAGTTCACTTCCCAAGAAAATATAGGTGCCAAATTCCCTAGGATGTGGGGTAGGAGGGAAAGCCCAGGAGATGCTGATTTACACAGGGAGCCTGGAGCATCATGGGAAAATCTTAGGTGCCAAGAGATAGTGATTGATGTGCTCAATCCATGTAGGTATTAATGAAGCAGGAGCTGCTCATAGTAATGGTTAAAACCAAGCTCAATACTTAAAGACTAGTGTACGCTTGCAAATGACATGTTGTAGAGAGTGAACACTGGACAGTTAAGAGCCTTGACTTTGAATTCAGAATTTCATAATCATACTGATATTACNAGTTAAGAGCCTTGACTTTGAATTCAGAATTTCATAATCATACTGATATTCATATGTGATATGAATTACATAATCATACTGATGATACTGATATACCTACTGGTATATATTATATTAAATTAAATTGGATTTAGTTTCTCATTGGAAATGAAAATATAAGAGCATGATGGGAATATTGTGGGAATTGAAAAATTGAAAGTTTGCACTAAATTTCTCATTTCCTAGCACGTAAGCAGTGGTCCAGATTGGTGTCGATTCATTTTCTCTTTGATTTGAAATAGTGAATGTTAGGAATGAATATTAATCTACTTCAAATACTAGTTCCTTTGTTGTGCTCTGAAATAGATTAACTTGATTAATGAAGGAGACATCATTTTTAATCTCACCTTTTTGCATAATAAATATCCTGTTTCTTAAATTTTCAAACACATTTTATCTTATAGTTAACTTTCTAGTATAAAAATTCTAGGTTGTAATTTACTTTATCTAAACATTTTCTTTGAATTTCTTATCAGTCTGCTATCAATCACATTGTCTTTTTCTTCATTGTAGTAAAAGCACTTCCTATGAGATCTAACCAATTAAAATTTTAAGGTGTTGCAGTTCAACACTTTTAAACTTTCAGTTTTGCAAGATGAATAAGTCCTAGAGATCTACTGTA